CTTTGTATGAAAATCTTTATAAGATTTTTTTATAAGTATAATATTATTGAATTGTTTTTAGTTGAATAGAATTGCAAAAATGTTTAGAATATGATAAAGAGAACAAGTCCCTCACCCTATTTTCAGTCTCAATAGAACAAATTTTATTTGATTCGAATTAATTTTCAGGATAATAATTTTAATAAGTAAATAAACACATATTTTGTTTTTTAATCCAAATAGGATAACAGAAAAATAATTCAAAAGAGTGAAACAAAAAGGGACTAAAATTTTGTACATTATCTACTTTCATCACTCATTCTCTTCTTCATCAAGCCCTGTGCAATCTTCGATCACATTAGGCCTTGAACTTTGTTTGTTCATTGACCGCATTTCATCGATTTCAACCCGTAACAGAGGGTCGCACACTACTTTTGCTGCCTTCAGTATCTTGGGGCAGGCTGACAGGAGAAGAAATTGTCAGAGATAGAAGCTTGACATGGGGAATTAAAAACACAATTCAAAACAAATAATAAATATACCTGCTACCGGGCATCGACCATTTTTATTTTTGGATTTATTAATATAGGCCATGATTGCCTTCTTTTCATATATATGCTTGCAATCCACACTGCATCAGGAGAAAACACAAACATGGAAATAAGTCATGCTCTAATACAGAATGCCTTGCCAACTATGGAATATGTTAATCCAGACTAATTAACTTTTCTTTACAGCCACGGCAAAAATAATATACCGACCGTCCTTTACGTCAAGCTAGGAACACCTTCAAATGTAGGCTAGAAAGTTAGAAACAATCACCTTATATACGCACCAAAACAATCACTCACATAAGCATTAATACCAGGAACCAATAATTAGTCAGGTCTTGTTTCAGAAACATTCTTCTACTTTCTATTTGCCAAACAATTGCAGACTACTATAATCCTACGAAAAATTTGACTAATAACTAATAAACTGGAGACAATAACATAAGACAAAATTTTTATTTGACCATGAATGAGATCCTTTTTCACCAGTTTAGTTTATCCTATATTTTTAATATTTACCGAGCAGGCCCTTCCCGGACCAAATACAGGTTTGAGCCATCACCCTTCAAGAGGACACCTACCAGTAGGTCTAAAGGCCACTGCTTTCACTACTGTTATAATAGTCAAAACATCCACCTAAGTGACTTCAAGTAATCATCATGTATATTTGAAGATGTTAATAGAGAACCTCAGTGATTGGAGTTTAGAAAAGTTTGCCAGTATATAGTTTGGCCTGTTTTGTGCTTAAATAATATCTTAAAACTACCTTTCCCTTAAAAATATTCCCCCAACCAACATACATTCAGTTATCTCATTCATAAAACAGAAACAGTGAACCAAGCATACATATAACTGAACCTGACGTCAGATTAGCAATAAAAAAAAAGTACAGCCTTTAGCCAGTCCAAAGAGGCTTATACATGGTTACCTAAATCCCCAAAGTGTTATCTAGAAAACTTGGAAGGAAAAGCATGCTCCTGTCACGCAAGTATTTGCACATGCAGTTTTCCGGTTATAGTACAAAACACAAGCAAACATGTTTTTAAAAAGAGGGGAAAAAAAGAAAAAAATCTAAGTGATTAGGAAAACACAAAGATATGTTTGAAGTGAGACTACAGTACCTTCGGACTGGGTCTGCTAACTCAGTAACGGGTTTTCCACTCAAAGGACAAGTGATATTTAAAAGGTTGCACTGGGTACTGGTCATTATAATGTCCTCCTGCTCTTCACCTGGCATTGGTTCTCCTGCATGATGAACATTCTGCAGGGAAATAGTGATAACACCACTAAATAGATAATTAAAAGATAAAGTAGCCAGAAAACTAATAGAACCTTGAAACAATATATATGCAGATAAAAAAACTCGGTGTTTTGTAACTCTTCAAATATGCAGACATTTATATTGATTGCCAGCAGAATGTTAAAGTAAGTCAAGCAGAAAACAGGGTTTTAATTAGCTATGCTTTTACATTAGTTTAGAAGTATTAATCGTTGCAGTATATAAAACTCAATTTCTACCCTGGAGGTATGATATTAAGGTATTTGTTTATCAATCTATATTTAAGTATTAACCATTGCTGTATAACTACTTCAGTTTTTACCACACAAATAAAATCCATAGTATCTGTTGGTTGCTTGAGAGGTGTCTATTTTTTTTTTTTCTTCTAATTGTTCTGTCTCTCCCTCAGATACAGACACAAATACTCCATCTAAAATGCTTTTCCAGAAAATGAAAGGCATCTTTTACAATTGATTAACATTTAAGAAAAAATGTTCCAAATATCAAGAAACATACCCAGACAGCTTCTCTGAATTGACGCATCAATGATTCTTTCTGTGGAACAGATGATGAAGCAGCCTTGGCCTTCACAAACTCACCCTCAAGCAACTTCTTAAAATCTGTTAACTACAATTCAAAATTATACCAACAAAATTTTATTAAAGAAGTGTCAGTACATTTATACCAAAGCAGCCATTTAAACAAAGACAGCCGAAGCATAATAAGAAATAAACCGGTCACCTCTGTCCCAGGCTGATATGAATTTCCAATTGATTCAATGGATGATGAATAGTGTGTACAGTCTCCATAGGCTTCTGACAGCTGCATAGCAGCATCCTCTAGTTTCATCACCTGCAATTATTTACAATTACCGATTCCATTAATATAAAAGAAGAAAACCAAAGTTCCCCTTAACATCATTCTCAACTGTTGTGCCAACTGAAACAAATAACACATCCAACATATAAGACACTAGTTTACAGATTCAAATAGAAACTACATTATTGGCAACAAAATATTTAAAACAGATCCATGACCAAAAGCAAGAAAACAACCAGATGTGAAGGAATTAAAATAACACACACACACACACACACAGAACATTGTCTAAAATGGAGGTTTTGAAGGGAAAGAACCCAAACAAGCACCAAATATCCTAAAATTTTAAATCTTCTGAGGTGCATTTTTTTCCCCCATTTACAAATCTTAGAAAACCAAACAGAGCATATGGATGTGTTTTTTATCAGGCAACAACGAGCCAACTAGTGAAGTCTCTTAATAAGTTGTAAAAGGCTACTGAAATCAGATCCTGGCTTCATCTAAGTTGTCAGGATTTGATAGAAGGCATAATCCTAATTCTTAGCCCGTTACCTCCAAAAATATAGCAATAAAAAAATATTTTTACCCATTAATGCAAATGAAGAGATACTTCTTTCCGTAATTGCAAAAATACTCAAAAATCCGGAAATACAGTACTTTGTTTCTTTCAAATTTCCACATCTTCTGACAACAGAGTGCATGTGCAAGCACACACAAATAAACAAACACAACATAAGGGTTATCATTGATAATACCATTTGAGACTGATTATCTCTTTCTAAATCAACTGCAACCTCCTTCATCAAACTCGTCGCCTTTCGAACTTCCTGCAATAAACATTAAAAATAAATTATAATAACATAAGATATAAAACAACACACATATGGAGTGATCTACTTTGGCAAGCTTCTCAGAAGCAGTTTCATCTTTCCTTCTCAATCAACATCTAGTACTTATTTTTATAGAAAAGGCAACCAATTGGGCTGTTAACTTTTAAAATGAAATTAAAAATAAAAAGCACTTCCAATGGCAACTAAATATCAATATCACATTATTTTAATTACTACTGTCTTACATTACACCTTGTTTTCCAAGAATTTTCAATACACATGCCCTGCTTTAAAATTTGGAAGAATATAATTTCACTCAGGTATGATAATCGAGAGTCCTTTTTTGCAAACTGCCGGAAAAGCTCTTCCAAATAAGAGCAATCACTTCTATTATTAAATAAAAGCGCTTTAAAATTTCTGAAAAAGAAATCCTAGTAAATTCTTTTCCCAACAGTGGTTCCAAGTGAGTCAGTCCAGTAGCTTATTCACAATGCATTCTCAAATCGCTTCTGGAAAAAGTGCTACCATACAAGTTTTCCGCACAGATATCACACCTCTACTGTAAATTTGATCACTCACCAGTCACCACTCACAGCCTTAGGTTTTCAATACGAGCAATTGAGCCCCAAATTTGCATAAATTTTCTATTAAAAACACAGCACATTATTTTTTAGCTTTCTGAAACGAAAAGTAAAAACAATTTCGAATTTTCGGCAGCAACGTAATTGACTTGAAAATCGTGAGAACAGAAGACTTACACCAAGGAGAGAGTTGTTTTCATTGTAGAGCGTTATGGTGGCGTTTCGAATTCTTTCAGTCACGCCGTCGTGCCGAGAACCTGAGGTGGATGCCATGTAGTATAGAGAAGGCAAGTGGAAAACGATGCGATTTTCGTTTTGGAGGTCCAATTGGCGAGCCTCGGCTTTTTTGGAGGGAGAGTAGGAAGATGGGTGTGGTAAAGAGGGAAATGTTTGGTTAAACGCCCCCGTTTTTGGAGTTCATGAAACGAGTCGTTTTGATAAACATGTTATAAAAGAGTTTTATGTAAATGTTTGGTACCAGACTACTAGTTAATTTATAAAATTAATTGAGAAATTGATTATTTCAATTTTTAATTTTGCAAAAATTATAATAACGAATTAAAGAACCTATTTATCGAGTCCATAGTTTAATCTAATATTAAAATTTTTAAATCCAATATAATTTGAAACATTGATCAATAGTCGTTGATAAATCATAATTTAAGAGTTTAAAAAAAGGATGTGTGACTTTATATGCACTCAACTCCATTATGAAAAAATAAATGAGATCTTTGAAATTTGAAATCGGTAGTTATAACCACCACTAGATGATCCAGCGGTCAACTGAGATTCTTGAATGTATTATTCAAGAGGTCTTGAATTTAATCTATCTAAGGTGTTAATAAGAAAATGTTAGGATTTACTCCACTATCAACTTCAGGATTTAGTTAAGGTACACGTAAATTAGTCGGACACATTGATTAAAAAAAAAAAAAAAAAAAGGGGTAGCTATAAAGTAATATCATAGATCAATTGAATTCACATTCTTCCCGGAATATTACATAATAAGTTACCTATATACACATTCATCTCAATAACTCAGCCCCACATCCACTACCACCACCAATTAAGCAGGCATAGAGCTCTTGCAGAACCTGAACATGATGATGATCACCATCTACATTTTCACTGCAAGAACCGTAATTATTAGAAGAAGAATCACAAGAACCAAAAGGGTAGTTTTTCTGGTTCAAATTCGCAAATAACATCTCTTGAGCCTGCTTCAGCTCTTCTTTAAGCTGCTTCACATCTTTCTCGAGCAGTCTCTTTTCAGCCAACGCATTCTCGAGCTTCACTTGAACCGTGTTATAATCAAACTCCAAGTTCTGCGTCTTCCACCTCGCCCGCTTGTTCTGAAACCAAATCGCAACCTGTCGAGGCGGCACACCCAGCTGGTTCGCCAGCTTCAGCTTCAGTTCAGGGTCGAGCTTCTTGTGGGCGGTGAAGCTCCTCTCGAGAAGCCTCACTTGCTCTTGATTAAGCCTCTTTTTGTTGTGTAATTTTGATGGTTGTTTTTGATCTTGGGTTTGGAAGTTGTTCATTTTTCCGAAGTGTATAAAAGAGCTTGAGGAAGAAGCATGCATTTGAGCTAAGATATGGTGGCTTTATATATAATTTTTTATATATGGGTTTTAAATTAGATTTTTTTTTTTTTTTTGTTTTTTTTGGTTGGGGGGTGGGTTGTTTATTGAGAGGTAGAAGAGTGTGATTAAGATGGTTAATTAATTATAATATAATGTTTAATATTCATAAATGCATGTGGTGTTCACGTGAAGTTGGTCCTACTTTATAGGTATAATAAATCTCTAATAATGATATTAAATTAGTGCCAGTCTTATGCATTAACCATATGATTTAACCAATAATGCTAAATAATTAATATGTCATACCCAATTTCTCTATTCCAAAAGTAGGAAAAAAAAAAAAAAAAGAGTTTGAAAAAGAGAAACGTCTTCATTTGCCACTTGCTAAATATAGCTAAAAGAATTTAATTATAAATTCAATGGAAGAGTTTGAAGAGAAGAGCCGCAGTAGTACTTCGTTGAATTTGATCTCATCACTTCTGCAGCCGCTTTGGACTTTAGAGTGGAAGATACCTCATTTCAATTGATTTTTAGGGTGTTCAATAGGTTTTAAGATTAATTGAAATACGTGTAAATTGACTCAGATATCCTGATTATTAAAAAAATATTTATTTAATTAATTTTGATAATTTAATGAATGACCATTTATTTAATGGATTAATATTATCTCTTACAACTACCAAGTTGATTCATTTAGTTTTGATAGAGACCCAACTATGCTACTAAATGCATGAACACACAAGGTTTCTGCTTTGCAATTAAGTCACAATTAAGCCTTACAAATTTCATACATCAATCAATCAATGTATCCCTAAAACTATAATTTTAGGATATATTTTTTTATTGTTATATTTGAAATAAAAAGAAAATCATGGTCCCCTATAGTAAATAGAATTAATTAAGTAAATATTAAATAAAATCTGAAATGGTTAAGTCAGATCAAAGTTATAGTGTCGTTTGGAGGGAATACAGAGTCTTCCCCACAATTGCATCACCATGATTTGGTTGTTCTAGCTTCTATTCATGCACCTATGAGTGGTGATGTAAACTAGGGCATAATTTTGGATGTACCCTCACACTACTTGTTCAAAGTTTTGTGATGGGTTCTTTGTCCTCAAATCTAAGTGCATGAATCAGAGCTAGTCAACTTGTTTAGGCTTCAACTTGACAATGTTTTGAAGAAAAAAAAAAACTTGTAGAGTGGATAAATGAGTCTAATTTATTCGATGGCGTAATGTTAGAGATTACCTTTTGATTTACCTGAAGTAGAAAAAGAATTAGTAGCATGTTATCGAACCAAATATTTAAGGATCTCATTTGGTTTAGTTTACATTGCTTCTTAAGTAAATCTATTAGATTTCTCTTTATTTGTAAAGGTTCTTAGGCATCATTGTTAAATTAGCTAAATTTCACTATCACAAGAAGATGGACTTTACCTAGGTTAAGAATGAGCCTCTTAAATCTTGGTTGAAATTTCGTATATCTATTTCTCTTGGAAATGAAACAATCTAGAGAGTAATTGAAACCAACAAGTAAACAACCACACACAAATAATGTAAACAGTAAAGAGAAAACACATACTCGATTTACCCTAATTCACCCAAAATTCGGGTTACGTCTAGCATAGTCAATATTATTAAAATATCTCATCACCTCTCTCGTTACAATGAACATATTTGCTTATGATTTGCTATCACATTCATACAAAAGAATAATATGTTTATATACTATATTTAATTAAAAAAAAAACCTAATATTATTAAAATCTCTTTGTCGAAGCCCAATTTCTATTAGAAGTTTTATTACTTAGAGAAATCTTACAGCGGCTCTTCATAGAATAGGCTCAAACCGCCTACAAGCCCCCGTCAACTGACTGGGCAGTGGGACCCCCGTATGCGGTTGACATCTCTAACAGGAAATCTATTACTAATAACTCTTATAAATTAACTCAAACGATTTGACCCATTTGACAATCGTTATCTAATTATAACGAGCTTAAACTTCAATTGAGGACAAAAACAAATAACATAACATAAAAAATTAGTTGAATTTAGATTGTTGTGCCTCAAATATGAAAGCTATTCAACAAAATGGGTAGGGCAAACTATGTAAAACACCATGAAAGAAAAAACAATCAACTAGACTTGAACAAAGACCATGACTTGTATTTAAAAGTATGTAGTGATAAAGAGACATGGATGGGCCATAGGGGAAAAGTTTCAAGCACTTGGGGTGCAAAGTGTGATGGCTTTCTTTCATCTTCAAACATAAGAAGAAGACACGACTAGTGAACGAGCTTTCACTTAGGAGACAAGATTTAACCCACAAATGTCTTGACGGTTTTGTGAAATGTCAAGTCCCTTGGCCCCAAGTTTAGTGACCGTTTCAGTTTTGAGGAAGTTAAGACTATAATTTGACCCAATTACTGTATATTCCGAAATTGGCTATCGAAACGTTTCTTTTTTCCTTTAATGGTTCTTTCTTACTATAATTTAATTGATTTTTGTTGAACTAAACATGATTTATTATTTGAGTCAATGACATTAATCTCCTTGAAGTTTGATTGAATAACACAAATCCATCTAAAGTTTATGAAATAACATAAATCCATATTAAGTTTTAGATGTCAAAATGAACGGTAGAAAAGAATTTGGTATATATTCACTAACCCACAACCACAATCGTGTAAATTTTAACGGTTCGCTGACAATAGAGTAATTTTTGTTACCACAATAAATCTCGTGGGGATCATCTCTTTTAACTTTTTTTTTTCAATAAACATACAATCATCTCAAGTAAATTGGATTATTAGTTAGAGGGATATACTGAAACTCAAAAATAAAAATAATTTATAAAAATTTAGATGTGAAAAATGCCACCATAAGCCAATCAAATATCATACTCATTAATTACGTCTGGGTGACCGAGTGGTTTAATAGAGACTCTTGGGTATATTACTCAAGAGGTCCTAAGTTCGAGTCCCTCCTCGATTGCTAATAGGGGTAGTCACTTGAACTTTTATCTAACTGGTAGTTTCAAGATTCTGGGAGATTAGTTGAGGTACGTGTAAATTGGCCCAGACATCCTCAATCATAAAAAATATACATAAGTCATAAAAAATATACACATATCATACCCAACACCCCCGGTCATCAAAAAAAATATATCATACCCATTGCTTCAAATTCATTGAACTCAGAGAACATCCATTTACAAATTGCCTAAAACTGAGAAAAGAAGAAGAAGAAGAAAAAAGAGGGTTGCAACAACTAGATTGAACTAATCTTTAACAAGGGATGAGATTAATAAACCATTGAACAATCTCTACTGGAAGCTTGATAAGACTCATTGACGCATTTGCAAGTCCCGCACAGCATATGCAACAAGGGCATATACAAGTCACAACACTCCTGCATTCATTTCATTTTTTTTTTTTTTCTAAATTTTATTAGAATTTATAATAACAATTCACACCTCAAGATTTACGATATATATAAACAGCCAACTAATATCATATACAACCAACTACACATGAAACGTTATGTCAACATTTGTTGGTGAGTTGTATATACATCCGATAAATAGAAGATTTTCTCAACATTTAGAACAATAGAATGAGTTTTTGGAAAATAGGATTTGGAAAACAGGTAAAACTAGTAAAGAAGAAAACCCAAAAGATGAGAACTAATGAAAACCAGAAGAAGTTCAAGGAAACTCACAACACTCCTACAATACATTCATTTTTTCTAAATTTTATGAGAATTTACAATAATAATCCACACCTCAAAATTTAAGATATATAAACAATCCAGAAAAATATTTGCCTCCATAGTATATTATATACAATCGACTACCATGAGTTATCAAGTCTAGATATAAGACATACTCTTATCTCATGATTGATTAGTTGTATATACATTCATTATACAGAAGACTTTTTGACAAATTAGAGAAACAGAATGAGTATTCAAATTTTCGGAAAATAGGATTTGAAAAACAGATAAAACTAATAGAGAAAAACAACCAAGTTTAAGAAACTCACCCAATAATCCAAATAACAGCTCCAAGAAGAGATAAAATCAAAGAAAGAAGTGCAAAGGGCAACCCTATCAAAAATGCGCAGGGCTTGCAGCCTCCCATGATTCTATGCTTAATTTTCTCATTATTTCTCTGCAGCCTCTTCTTTGTTCTTATAGGATTCAATGGCTATTTTCGCTCCATTTTTTTGCTAATTTTGTTGTCGGTTGTTTATTTGCCTATTTAGGGTAATTTGATTGTTAATAGTCATATTTCTTCATGCAAAAATTAACTTTGAGTTGTTATAGTCATGTTTCTTAATTTGGTGGTCAGTCCAATATTAATTACGTTTTAAGGTACTACAGAGAATGAATATAAGGTGACCTTGCGACGGTTTATGTATAAAGTGTAATATTATTGTTGTTATATCGATAGATAAACCAATATATAAACAATAAAGATTAGCTCACAATTTAACCAAAAAAAAAAAAAATAGATTGGCTCACAACCCAATCTTACAAACTTTTTCTCACAACCCCAACATAACAGCTTGCAATTGGATAGGTGGAACCCAGCTGACTAATTGCGAGTTGCCTCATTGGAGCTGTGAGAGAAAGTTTGTAAGATTGGATTGTAAGAGTAGTATTGCCCATATATAAAACTTTGCAACGAAACAGTGAAAGCAAAAAAATCAACTTAATTAACGAGAATGAATAATGAACTAATTAAATAATAACATCTTATCTATTAACTACCACTAAATGGTCTAATTGTAAAAGAACAAAAGGAAGTTCAATAAGTTCTAGAGTTCGAGTCATTCTAAATACTAATAAGGATGATTACTGAGGCTCTTACCCAGCCAACAGTTCCAAAGATCCATTTAGTCTTCATATGAACAAGTTGAATATATATATATATATCAACTAATTTTTTGTTAGATTTTAGTGATCTATGTTAATACACCTTGGTACGGTTCCCCAAAATTGTTATTTGCTTAGTTGAACGAAGGTTGAGAATCTTTATTCTTGAAAAGCTTTCACCTATCCACGCTGGAAGGCTTGTAACTTTGTACAATTTTTAATTGATACGGGTAATGTTCCAAAGAAATGGTTGTTGCTAAGGTGTTGCGATCAAGAAAACTTAAAGCTCCAATGGTTGGTGGTTGGAAGACTACCAGTAAATTTGTTGTTATCTAATTTTAGGATAATTAAGTTTTGCCAATTATTCACCATACAATCTGGTAATTCTCCGTGGAAGAAGTTTTTGCTAAGGATGAGAATTTCCCTCGATCATCTCATAACACAAGAAGTGAGAAATTGATCCTGACACACTGTTGTACTTGGAAAGGTCGAGTTCATGGATGTTGGAGGCTGTGAGAGGCAATATTATTTGAACTAAAGTCCAGTGAATCAAACTATTTTTGAAGGGTGTGAAGGGGATTACAATGAAAAAGTCATTATATTCCTATCCCATCCAGTCTGTAAATTTTTTGTTAAACTAATCCTCTTCGCGAACGGAGCGGGATGAGGACAAACAAAAATTTATCTAAGTGGTGAAAGTTGTTATGCCTGTATATCATTAAAGTATTTGTTATCTTCGGTTTCTAAAGATAGAAGAGCTTCTATAATCTTATCTGGTAATTAGGATTATGGTTGTATTCCTTTACTAATTATATCATTATAAATAAAGGTTATGGAAGCAGTAGAGTGCACATCGTGTTTTAGTACAAACTCCTTTTATACAACTTAATTTCATAGAAGAAAATGGAAAAGATTTCACCTAAATTGGCGCTCTTGATTGTCCTCTTTGTCACAACTTCATGTAATTGCTCCATTCCTTTTTCTTCTTCTTTTTTCACATGCTATTAATTAATGTCTATGATTTTAATTTCATGTGTTTAATTAGTTTTAATTAATTTAATTACAGGTATATTATTGGTTGAGTTACCAATAACTGAAGCTGGGTTTGTTTGACTAGATCATTGCTGCCATGATGATGATTGCCATCGAGATTGCCCGGGAAGAAAAGGCTTTTGTTGTCAAGATCCAAACGATACAAAATGTCAAAAGGGCTCCTGCTATTGTTCATAAATTCACCAAGAAGTTTAGACAAAATTCTTTTTTTTTTTTCAACCTATCTTCATATATATATATACACGTTATTATATAAAGTTAGGTTGTAAAACATAATTTTGTCTGATATGATGTATTATAGAATAAAGTTCTTTAATTAAAGAACTTAATTATATTTAAATAAATAAATCTAATAAATACTAATGTTGTCTTTTGATTGATACCATTCCAATAAAACTCTAATATACTTTATTTTTCTTTTCTCTAACCAATTTGATGTCAATTATTAGGGTGTGTAATCAGTAAAACTCAATATAATACCATGCATATTAAGGTAACTTGAGCTTATAAGCATTTGAAATTTAAGTAATTACATATTTAGTTAAAATACTTATAAGTAACTGATAAGTAGTTGCCACGTTTGATAAAATATGGCTTATAAGTACATTTTATTATTAAAATTTCTAAAACGAGTACTACATTATTTTATCAAATAATAAATAAGGTTATATGATAGAATTTCAAAATTAAATAAGAATAATGTGATAGTATAATTGGTCAAAGTAGCTTATAAGCGGAGTGTTTATAAGCCAAAAAAAAAAAAAAAGTAGGTTCCCCCCAAACTTGTTTTTTTCTTTTTATAAGCTCAAAAAAGTTATAAACAAATAGGTCAACTTGATTTTAGAGCTTATAAGCTCAGACAAAAACCCCCTTACTCACTGTCGAGATTGGAGTCTTATTAATATTTTGCATTAATGTTTCAAATATAGTTGTTACACATGTTTTGAATGATGAAGAAATTAATAAGAGTAAACAACTTTTTCCCAACCCAAATAATGATTTAATGGCACTTTTTTATCTACAGACTTTTAAAATACCACTTTATTATCTAAATTTATATTCGATTTTCAATTCCAACGTCATTGCAACCACACACCACCACTATTCTCTTCCCCAATCATCACTCACCAAAGCCCCTCAAACCCCACTCCCGTCAACCTTGCCAATCGCTGGCAATTAAGCGATTAGGTTTGCGTAGCCGCGCCTTCCAAGTCAAATTTCGATTAATCCAACCACCGAAATCCAACCTTTCACCACTAAAAGACTTATTGTCCTCCCCTCTTCAAAAGCCCCAATAGTCTGTACCGAGTTTACTCTATGTTCATTGTCAGAATATAAATTTGGATAGCAAACTGATATTTTAAAAATCTATGAGTGGAAAAATGTTATTAAACCATTATTTGGGTGGGAAAAAGTCGTTAACTCCTTTTATAAAGTCCCAAGTCAAGAACTTTAAGAGAAAAAATAATAATTATGGAATCATATGAAACAATCATCCTAGTCAATTGGAACATGTAAGCATATAAACTCAATGGGTGTGACATTAGAATTATGGGATCATAAGTCACTCTGGTCAAGGACCGATCCCAAGCGAGCCCATGCCTAGGCCAGTTTGGGACTGGTCCCATTTGGGACCTGTCGCTCATGGTCCCAGGCCCATGAGCAATTTTAAGACCTGGACCAGTCTTATGGGCCCGCAAAATTTTATTTTCCCTTATCTTTTTTTATATTTTAGGAGCGAAATAAAATTCTGTTGCGGGGTTCATGTAATTTTCAGGAGTAGATTAGTAATTTTCAAGGCCAATAGCCAACTGTTATTAAATGAATTTTTTTAAATTTTGTACAATTTTTTTTAATCCCTACAATTTCTGTCTATTTCAAAATTTACAAGGGTTTTATGCAATTGTCCAGAGGGCTAAAAAAATAAACCAAAATGGTTTGGGCCCAAGTCTAAGCCCTGGAGGAGGGCCCAATAGAGGGACTGAGCCCTCCTCCTTAGGCCTGTTCCGGTTTTTGGACCACTTTTACTAGGATTAGTCTTCTCAAGGACCAGTCCTAGGATTGAGTTTTTGGGCTGGGTTTTTGGACCAAGTCCCAAATGCCCAGCTCTAGTCACTAGACATATATCATGAATCAATATACAGTAAAATGTTATATGCTTCTTTGCACCTATATGTAAAGGCCTTGTTATATTTAAACTTATAACGGCCTCTTATACTTTTTATTAATCAAACAACTAACAAATTCTTTATAAATTTAAAGGTTGGTATGAGCTACCAATTTTCAAACTAGGGGCCAAACTAAAATTTATGGAAGGGGAAAAATGTAAACTATTTTATAAAAAGGGTTCCAAAAAATATAACAAATTCTAGGATAAAATATAAATATAAGATTTTCTAAGGGTCGGCTTGGTAGTTTTTTTTCCATTGGTTTTGAAGGGTTTTTAATTACACTGGTTTTGACGTATTCTACAACCATTACTTTCCAGATTTTTTATGCACTGGTTTTGACTGGCTCAAAAATCCTAAGAAACCAATGTAGTGTATTTTTTAGGGGTTTATAAAACACCCCAAATCAAGATGTTTTGGTTGGTTTTAAAATTTTATTCCACAAATACTCTAAATACTACAAAATTATCCCAATTATGTCCAAAAAAATTACTATATTATCCGCATCTCTAACCATATTAAATATAAAATAATTTTAAGCAATCATAAAAAAAGAAAAATATTAAAATCTCATTTCTAGCTGCTTTCTTGGAGAAGTGGAGTTACAATTTTTCAATCATTCCAGATTCTGCAAAGAATGGGGAAAAATGATAACAAGACTTTGCACATTTAAAGTTATAAAATATTAATAAGTACAAAATTAATAAAGAACTCTTACTTTGTAATTAAAAAATATTAAACTCCCAAATACTGGTTGAAGTTGAGGTATTTTTATGAATATATATGTAAATTTATCATTTTAAAAAGCTATCAGAACCGTTGGAATATAAACTCCTAAGCATAGATTGAGTGTTTTAAAAACCGCTACTAAAAACCCTCAAAACTGTTACAATGGTTTATCCTTATAACCGTTACCATGAAACTCTCAAGCGGACTCTAAGGTTCGTAAGAGTTCTGAGAGGAGTTTTCTTTTTCTTCTCAGTAGTGTAGGGTTTCGACTGCTTGTAATTTTAGCAGCCACTCGCCATGATAGCAAAACTTT